AGGATTTTTCTTCTTAGAAATAACATAAACACATGGAAATGTAACTCTTGATGGTTGGAAATATTTACACAAACTGACCACTAGGGGTCACAATACTCTCATAAACCTTGTAAATAACTTCTTCGAAAAAAAATTCATTCGTTTGGCATTTATAAGAGAACAAAAAGTTAATTTAAACATTAAAAGTATTAAGTTAATTCACACTTCCGGAAAATATGTTGTAGTTGATTTCAAACGCGTAACTGATGTGTTTTATTTAGCAGCTGCTGCTGAATGATGAAGGATTTACGGCCATAGCAACACGTGTTGGGTCTCAACAAGCTGGATCTGTAAACAGAACAGCACCGCCCCCTAGTGGAAAACTGTAATATCTCTGGATTCCTCTTTGAGATGCCACACGATTAGAGTTACTTGCTTATATTTAATTCAAGATTGAATGAAGCTATTTGGGAAATTAATGTATTGTTGTTATTTTAGTTTTACAAATAAAAATCTGAATAATAGCATTTTATGTAATTACAGTTCCAAGACCCTGCGATGTGTCTGCACCAACTTTACACTTCTTGAAACTGAAGTTTTGCTCTTTAATCGACTGATATGAATCGAATATGTCGTTCAACCTTCACTAATGAGTGAAGCTCCAAGTGTCAAACAAGAACAACAAAAGAAAACCCTTAATACTCTGAAGTCCTTGTTTCGTTTATTTTATTTTCTGCTGTCCACATGATCTTTTCGTCATAACAAGCAAGCATCCCAGAAACCCTACAGCCACCAGGACAAACACCATCACACAGTTTCACTTTCACAAAAAGTAGGGGGAGAGCTTACAGAGGAGGAGGAGGAGTGGGGTGACTACGGGCCTCAGGGGGGAAAGGCGGCGTTCAACAGCATCAACAACCTCAGAGCAGAAGGAAGAACCTGTCAGTCTGCAACATGTTGGGTACATACATGTCACTCATATAGCGTTAGCATAATATGGCATAGAAAGAAAGCGTCCAAGCTGACAGAGCATCAAAGGAGTAAAACTGTGCATGTAAACGGAGGAGGCATGAGACACACTGAGGACGCCAGTGGAGACTACGGGCGTTTTTAGCATCAAAGTCGACTCTTCTACGACTGCAGAATCTTTTCAGAACAGTCTGGAGTCCACACAACAACATAATTCAAAAAATATGTCAGTGCAGAGTTGTCGGTAATAGCGCCGGGTTGCCATGACAAACAGAGGTTGGAGGTTTGTCGCCAACAGCCAAAGGAGAGAAAAAGTTTAGAGGAAGGGGGTGAAAGCGCGGTTCGCTGCCAAGTCGTGTTACTGTGTTTTTAAACAAACTCAACTGCGTAATAAATCTTTAAAAACAGTGGGCTTTCAAAGGATTTCCAGTCATTGCAAATAGGCTAATGCTTCATGTAACGGATGGCAAAAGAGAACAGTAGTGGTGTATTATTCAATACTATTCACAGCCCAGATGAGCACAGACTAGCTAGCATTAAAGCTAAAGCCATTTAATGCGAATTAAATCTTTTACTTTAACAATATGATTAAAATAAAAAGCTTAACCTAGTCTTAATTGATGAACTGACTGAAATTTCAAATGTTTACTCATTTGATTAAGATACTTTTTAAATAAGCAGTGGATATTTTTACCCTGCTGTTCCTGGGTAAAATTCACGATTTGCACTTTATCCTGTAATTTATGCATTTAAATATTTCTCAGATCCTAGAACAACAGTGTGGAGGTTTTTTATCTGAAAATTGCAGTTTATAGGTGCGAACACAAGCTTGCTAACATTAGCTACTAGCATGCTAACATCTAGATATTAGAATTAGCTGTGGATAATCTGCCTCTGTAGATGTTGGGTTGGCCTGGTACCGTTATGGTAAGACTTCACTAATAGTTGTCTGAGGCAAAGTTTTGTTGTGGATATTACTAGCATGTTGTTTTAATTAATAAATCATAGATTAAAATGCTACCATTTGCTTAAACAGGAGTTAGCGTCCTAACAGAATACAACTAAATATGACATTATTGAGACTAGCATTAGCATGCTAGCATTAGCATGGCAATTTGAAACTTGCATGAATTATCTGTCAAAAGAAATCTTTAAATTGAAAATTATGTCCAAAGCTAATCCACTTAATTAAAGAATTGACTCCAGGTTGTGCTTTTACATCTAAATCAAGATGTTAACAAAAGGAGAAGTAGCTTGTTTTTGGGAGCATGAAAATGATGATTATTAGCTTTGAACATTACCATACTATAGCTAGTTGTTAGCATTCTAATATCCAGAAATTAGCTGAGCCTAATATTTAGACCTAGATGTCAATATTAGCATACTAGTGTTAGCATAATAGTTATTAGGCTATTGTTTTTGTGGATGCTAGTGCTTCTGTGGCATGCTAACAATGAGCACATAATTGTTCATAGCCCATAATTAGCATGAATGCTAACAATAGCATGCTGGTATTCACTCTAGTGGATATTACCATCCGCTAATGGTACCGTAGAGCAGTACCATTAGTTGTCATCATGCTAATGTAGCAATTATTTAGCTGAAGCTAAATATTTGGTGAAAAATGAACTATTTTATAGCAGGCGCCTCCTGTAGGTGTCCCATACCTCATCCGCATCAACAGTAAATATCAGTCAGAACTACGTTAGCTCATGTCTATGTTCAAGCGTAAATCAATAGTGCTCAGCCCTTAGGCACCTAGTTACAGAATAACACTAAAAAGCAGTTTGACAACAAGGTAAAAACTCTAAAACATTAGAACATTTCAAGATATCGATCTCGTTTTTCCTTTACGTAGGGCTCAGTCGAGCTGAAAAGCCCCTACGAAAGCACAAAAATCTGGCACCTTTGAATCGGTTAATCCTGGCTATTTTACATCTTTTTATCTTACATCCTTCACTTACTTCAACAACAAATAAAAAAAAGAACAAAATCAAAATATCAGTACAACTTCTGTTTGTTCAGGCACATAAAAAGTGGAAATGAAGGAGAGATTTCGATGAGTAGAAAACAGTCTGTATGCTAAAGCAGCAGTTGGTTGGTTGGTTGGTTGGTTGGTTGGTTGGTTGGACGGCTGGGAATTTCGCAGCTTCCGCTGTGAAATTTGGATCTTTGTGACTCAGGAATGCAAACAAAGTGGAAAATCAGTCACTTCCCAGATGGGACAGATCTCACTAAAAGGATGTAAAGAGACAATAAGGCATGGGAAGGCAAAGTCTGACAGAATAAAACTTCTCAACCACCAATTCTGCAATTATGACTGAAAACAGAAATGAAACGTGACAGTTTTCCAACCATCACATGTCTCAGATACACTGCAAAACAAACAAAATATTTTAAAAATCTCTTTAATTATTTTAACTCTTAAGGCAGCATTCATTGTAAATTATCAACAGAATTTGAGATTCTTGACCTTACTGCTGCAACACTGATCAATTTGGTACCCATTCTTCATTTTAGCTACAACCAAAACAAAAAGGAAAAGAAATGAACAGAAATACAGCATCTTGCATAAACACGGCCTTTTTTGTCCTAACTGACTCACCTGAACCCTCAACAAAAACTGCAAAGCAAAAAATAAAAAGGACAAATGGAATAAAGTAAGTACAATATATATAAAAAAACAAAACAATGCAGTCAAAAGTGCTCAAAAAGCAGTGTTATTTTTTTCTCTTTTTTCTTTTTTGTTTGTTTTCTATTTATTTCTAACTGTGTCCAATAGAGGCTGGGGAAACAGGAAAGTTGGTAGGTGAGAAAAACTGCATAGGAGGAAGTGCCGGGATCAACGGTGAGGCGCAGTGAAAGGTTCGGCTGCTCTCGACCTGATCTCACCGGCTGAACGCCATCCTTTGACAAATTTCCTCCTATGCAGGGTCAAGGGTCAGGGTTTGTGAGGCGGAGCTTTAACCCAGGCTGGTGATGTTGGCCCTGCCACCCGGGGGCGCCACAATGCGCTGGGTGTTCCTGCGTGGAACGTTGTCGTCGATCTGAGCACCTGTGTGACCAAACAGAAAACAAGCTGTTATGGTTCCTTGAACAGGTCAAAACAAAACATCTTCATTACGTTTTCGAGACGTTTTAGGGTGTCCTGTCACTTTAAATCCAAGTAATCTCCTTCTGGCCACGCCTCTAACTCAACGTTTACAGATGTGTAAACATACAACCGTACATCTTTGAATAACAACAAGAATGGAGCAAGTGGTTTCTGGATGGTAAGTCAACAACAAAACTTTTTCCAGCAGCCATTGTATAGCATATGCATCCTGACCATCCACGTCTGTATTAGAAAAACAGAGTGTCTTAAGTAAGAGGTTTCTTCAAATTTGCTGTAATATGGACTGCTACAGGTGGTAATCACCATTTACAATAACTCTTGTTTTTGAATTAATATGAGTTACAACAACATTTACTTTCCCTTTGGGTTCAGTAAAGTATTTTTACATTTGAATTGAATTAATACAGCAGTAAAACCTGCTGACCTAATGTCTTGGAGCTCATCTTGTGTTGCTAGGTAACGGGGGGAATTCCGCTGGTGTTGCTAGGTAACGGGCCGGCTGCTCTGGGATTACTAGATTAAAGGTCAGTGCTTGTTGATTTGTGACGTTCCATTCCTCAGGTTTTTGAAATGGCTCATTGTCCAGACAACAAAAAACATGAACTTATTGTCAAAAACCATTTGGGTTTTTTTTTTTGAAGCAGTAGAAACCCAAACAGATTAATTAATTCTCAGTTTAATCTACAATTTTACATTTTCATCATGTTAAAATCATGGTATTATCCATGACGGTGGATTAATGGTATTATATGGTTTAAAATAGTTGATTAGATCAGAAATATCCAGTTATTGACACAGAGAAACTTAAGCCAACCCCATGTCTGACATGGTACAAATAAAGCAAAGCTCCCCACTGGTTCCTTACATTTTCAAATATGAACAAAAATATTCTTCAGGTTTCCTAAAAGTTTTTACCAATTATCCAAAAGCTTGGCTTTCTTCAAAATTTTGGCAGTGCCTTTGAAATCTTCAACTGGGTTATATTTTTGAGATAAACTCAAAGTATCACCTCTCTCCTACCAGACAGAAACAAGCTACAGGTTCCTGACTGTGAGTAAAGCTTATGGACTGATGGTTCCTGACTGACCGGACAGGCTGAAGCCAGACTGGTGCAGGTTGCGGACAGGCTGGCTGGGTTGTTTGGCAGGTGAGGTCTTCGCAGAAGAGACGGGGGTCATGGTTTTAGGAGTGACGGACACCTCGCACACCGGACCGTCGTACAGACCTCTAGGCACACCCCTCAGCTCAGCCAGCTGCAAGAAGAAAAACAACACGCAATATTCAACGCAAGAACCAAAACGACAGTCCTCAAAACAACAGTGCTGCACTATACCCTGCTGCGAGCCTTTATCCTCTTGTAGACGTAGTCAGGGAACGGTTTACGGGCCACGAAGCGTCCTGAGCCCTCGGTGGCGTGGAGAGTCCCCTCCTCCAAAACAATCTTTCCCTGGCTGATGACCACCAGAGGCCCACCGCGCACCTCCAGGCCTTCAAAGATGTTGTACTCTACAGTCTAAGAAAAGAAAAGTAAGCACATAAAAAATAGGGTTATTTTACACAAACTAGAAGAATTTGAATTCATTCTGCCAATTGCATATTTTAGTATTTATCCCAAGTTACAACTGCTGAAATAACAAAACTTAAAAGAAGCTCAAGACAGACTTTTCCCCCCATTATCAGAATGGAGTAATATTTTATCATAATATGTCACTTTGTCCACAGATTTAAACAATATGTTATGAAATAGCCAGAACAAGAGGAATAACATTCATTTGCAACAGAATGTTGAATGAATCTGAGTATCAGTCAAGTAGACAGTAACGTTTAGATAATAACCTACATAAATTATCAGAAACTCAAGCTAACAGCTACAAAAGCTAGCAGTGCACATTTATGAACACCAACAGCTACTTTAACTGATAGTTACTAACACTAATGGCTGCCTAAGCTAACATCTAATAATACTAACAGCTAATAAAGCTAACAAATACATAAGCAAACAGCAACTTGAGCTAGCATTTCACAAAACTAGCACTTACCTAAAGCTAACAGACAATACCCAAAATTTAACTAACATTTAGTCAAGCTAGCATCTATCAAGCTAAATTAGTCTAGTAGATATTAAATTAGTTATTACATTAGTCTAGTTTATATTAAATCTAACAGTGCTTTAATAATAATATCTAATTAAGCTAACAACTATGGACTAATTCAAGCTAATGGCTACTTAGGCTAGCAGAAACCTAAAAAACCATTACTCATGCTAACAACTAGATTATTTTAAATGACACAAGAACAAACTATTTTCAGTTAAGAGAATAATTGACAATAAATAGTTGTGAAATGCAAAAAGTGAGAAGGCTTAAACATAATTGGTACAACATCTCTGGAGGTTTTGGGTTTGAGTTCTTTTAGGTTGGACCGGTTATAAGGTCCTGTTATCTTGACTAACACTAAAAGTCCTTCCAGATTCTCCAAACTGGAGATCATTCTACCAGATGGACAGATGATGACTCCACAAAAACCGACTTACAGCACATCCACAACTATTCCTTTAACCGATGTGTTACAATGTGTTCCCTGTGGTCTAATGCTAATAAAAGAGCTAATTGTATGGACAAGAGGGATAAGCTGATGGGTAACACAAGCATTCATTTTTATCCCAACAGATGAGGAAGTTTGGCCAATGAAGAGGTTTGTGTGTTTGTGTGTGTCCACTCTGGAAGCCTTAAACTGCTCTTTCCTAAAAGCTACTGAAGTTAACGCTGAGGTCATGGCAATCTGGCAAAACTTTATCCCAACATGAGCTCACCAGAAGGATTAGCCACCCCATTACTCACACGCTGCTATACATAATTTCTCCCATGGAACAAAAAGAGGCTCAGGGACATAACAGGATTAAATTAGCAGATTCCCAGAACGTCCACAGCAATGGTCTCCATGTCTTTCTAAAACATACATACACAGACAGGCAGCCTGCAAACAATCAGAGCCTGATGTGTTTCAGTTCTCTGGCAGATTTTATGAATGACATCACTCCCTCGACACCGTGTGAGGCCCACGCCCTGTTCAGCAGTCTTCCCAGCCACCACAGCACTGGGCTAACACCCACTCGCTCCCACTGACACCGGCTTCAGAAAATGGAGGACATCGTACGGAGTTGTGGCTCTTGGCAGAGATGATCTTCGTGACGTCCGGGTCCCAGAGAACCAGGTCCGCGTCCGAACCCACTGCGATGCGGCCCTTGCGGGGGTACAGGTTGAAAATCTTGGCTGCGTTGGTGCTGGTGACGGCTACAAACTGGTTTTCGTCCATCTTACCAGTCACCTGGAATACATTACGACCGAGCGTTAGAACTGGCCTGATTCTCCAAGCTTCTATGTTGCATGTTTAGTCTGTTGTTCCTGACCAATTGTTTGACTGTTCTCATTTGTTTTGTTTCACCTAAAGTGGCAAAAAAAAATATGCAAATTAACCAGCTGCTTAGGGCCCCCCACACCACCAGGGGCCCTCAAGAGCACCAAGCCATCATAATAAAAATACATATATATTTAAAATAGCTTTGAATAACACAAACTAAATGGTATTACACATGAAAAAAATATTTCTATATTGTTTTTATAGTTGTAACACAAATAATGATTAATCTCTTCCTGCTGATGGCTGCTGTTGGGGAAATATTAAATTTATAAATTTAGTGTTGATCAGCTGATGTCACTTTAACATGGTTAAAATAACATGCTACACTTATGGAGCTAAATTAGTGTCAAAGTTTATTCAAATGAAAAAAATAAACTGAAAAAAATAAATATTTGAAACAGAAATAAAGAATGTGAAACTGAAAAAAAATTCAGATCTACTTTTCATATTCAATTATGATTTTTAAGTTTCATATTTTTATTTTCAGTTTAAACCTTTTTTTCAGTTTTAAATCTTTATTTTCTGTTTTGATTTTTTTCCATTTCAAAATATTTCAGCTTCTTTTTTTCACTTTAATACCTTTTTCAGTTCCAAATCTTTTTTTCTGTTTAAAATTTTTTTTCAAAAATAAATGTTCAGTTTCAAATCTTTTTTTTTTTTTGTCACTTCCATGGATTTTTTTCTTTTTACCAAACATTTTGGCCCCAATTTAGCTCCATATTCACTTAGATACCACTACGCAAATTCAAAATTCACATTTTTTTTTCAGTCTGTTACTCCTGTAAAATTTAAATCAATATAATAACATTGGTATGATTTAAGTTAATTAAAAATTATGATAATGATAATAGGCATGTTGCACATATAGAATAGCTCAGGAAGTATAAAGAATTTGTTATTGACATGTTGGGATGGGGGGCCCAAATAAAAATCTGCTCTGACCCCCAAAAAGACTTGGGGCGGCCCTGTCCAGGACACATACCACACATTTGTCCCAGATGATTGACATCCTCTCCTCTGTGCCATTGACACCCTCAGGAATCAAGGTGAAGTCATCTTTCCCCACAGCGCGCTGGGCCGTGTTAAAGGGACAGTGCGCACTTCCTGTCACCTGCAGGTCGCCACTATGAAGATTAAAAATGACAAAACACACGCAGAAAGAAAGAAAGTGAATATAACTGGGATGCTGAGACAGAAACATTTCCAAATGTGTCTCCAGTTGGATCCAACTTGTACCAGGACAGCAGGGAGTTGAGATAGTCCGGAGTGGCCGGGTCAGGGCTCAGTGGAGGGGACGTGACAAAAGCCGCAGCCTTGGCCCAGTTCTTACTCCAGTAGTGCGACCCGTCCGTTCCCAGGCTGGCCGTGATCGGCTCTCCATAGACCACAGTGCCTGGAAAAATGGTTAAAGTAAAGTTCTGCTGCCAGACAGAGGCAGGTTCTGCAGCAGCATGTTAAGGACACTATATAGAGAAAATGTCTGCCAAAAAGTTTTAGAATAATTATGAAAATTTAGGAGATTAATTGCAAAATTTAATTTCTCTCGTGCAAATTTTTGAGTTTTTGAACTCAAATATTTTAGAAAAAAGGAAATTTAAGAGTTTGAAAAAAAATGGGAAATTTCTGAGATTAATTCCAAAATTTTTTAGCTTTTTTCAACTCATAAATTTCATTGCTACTAGGATCTTTACAGACCATTGTAAGTTACAGGAACAAAGGTTTTAAAAAGTGATATATACATATATATATTTTTTTCCACGTTTTTTATTGAGTGTCACTGAATAAGCATTTATGACCACTGACAACAACAACAAAAAATCTGGCTTATTCCTCAGAATCAAAAGTCAGAAAAAATTCAAAATTTTGAGAAAAATGTCAGAATTTTGATTTTAAAAAATTATGATTTTTTTTTCTATTTTAGAGGTCCTCTCTTGTTAGCACTTATAGGAGATAATATTAAAAAACTTGAAAATGTAATTTCATGTTGCTGTGTTGCATAGAGGCACATAAGTGCCTCAAACTAATAAAAATATAATTTGTCATATAAATATTTATGTATGTAATAGCTTAAATAAAATTGGAAATACATATATTGAGTTATTTATTAAAAATATAATGAATTATTCATGAAATATTTGTATTCACGTTATAATAAAAGCATGTTTATCAAAATACTTATTTGTTTTTGTTCTCCTTTGTAAAATCGGCCAAAATTAGCAAAAAATACACATTTATATATCCTTTCCTCACCCTTCTTCCTAGCCTGAGCGATGACATCAGCAGCGCTCTTGCTCATCACCTTGGTAACGTACAGCGGGCAGTTCGTCTGATTGGCCACCGTCACCGCGCGGTTAACAGCTTCTGCTTCCACCTGGAAAACAAAGAAAAACACTGTAGATGTAGACATCAAAATCTCCTCTAAGCGTCTAATTAGGTGACTTTTATTTAGTTGTATCAGTAAAAGCAGGTGAACACAAATCAAATACAATCTTTTTTAGCACTGACTTATGTTTTATAGTCAAGCTTAAACATTAATGTTGTGCTTTTTCCCACCAGGCAGAAGGAAAAAGGGAAGAAAATACATGTTTTAGCAATAACACAGTGTTATCTTTATAACAGATGTCCTGATGACAAACCCCATCCTTTGTTTTGGCGTCTTGTTTTGGCCAAGGCAGAGAATCGTCCAACGATTATAAAACTGTCAAACACTTTAGTACCAAGCAGTGAACGACTGGAAAGGTCAAACTGTTCTGGCAAAGAAAGAGGCTGGAGTAGAAATGCAAAGTCCAAGCATTCACCTCCTCTGGGTGGCTCAACACGTGTCCTTCAGGTCCGGTGATCCCCTGCTCCAAGATCCGCCTCTGCTCCTAAAAACGCACAAACACACAAACAAACTCGATGGAAAAGTCAACCGCTGAGTCATGTCCAGGTGTTTCCGATCAACAGCAGAGAAAACCGATCACAGCCATGACCCCCGTAACCGACTGTCCTCATCTGGTGGCAATTACAAACGTCATGCGGCGGCCAACAAGCGCGACTCGTACATGTTACAACAGGATTACAGGCCACACAAAGCATGGTCATTACATTTTCTGCACAAAATTATTCTTAAATAGTGACGTTTTAGTCTGCGTATCTTGGGCTCCTTTCAGAATGAGCTGTTTGAGTTCGTCTTGTCACTTTAAATCCAAATAAATTCCTGATGGCTACACCGCCAAATCAGTGTTTACACATGAAAATAGCTTTATATTGAGACAAAAGGTAGTCCATACCATTTAAAAATAATAAAAATATACAATATGTCACAATTGACAACTACCAGAATTTTTAAATTGTCATTAAAAAATAGCAATTCTCAAACGCAATAATAAATATGTATATATCAATGAATATAAGAATACAGAAACACAGAAACAACTGGGATGAAATGACTTATCTATGTTCAGGGAAACAGCACTGACCCGCACATGAAGCAGTAAAACCAGCTGGCCAAATGTGCCAGAATTCCTATTGAGTTGCTAGGTAACGGTTGGAACTCTGCTGGGGTTGCTAGGTAACGGCTGGGCAGTGCCTGCTGAATTGTTACATTACATTCAGAAACCAAAAAACTTTTACTGATTGCCAAACAGCGGCTGGCTGGGAGGATTCTTTAAGAGTTTTGTTTGTTTTTAGAAAAAGTAGAAAATCAAATTGGAATGACAGAAATCTGCAAGACTAGCTAAATTTTTAGATCCTGGTTACGGGGAAACAGACAGCTCAAATTCATACCTCAGCAACGATGTCCCCGTTCTCGGCGTGAACCTGGGCGATGGCTCCCAGATCACGGATCACGCTGAACACCTCATACACCTGCATCAAAGAGAAACAAGGAGATGAAAATGTATCATTTGAAATCAGATTTGATGAAAATATCTACATATAGTGCTGTGAAAAAGTCATTTTTCAAAGTGATATTTTCACTCTTTTATAAATGTCACAGTTTCAAACTGAAAATTTAGTTAGCAAGCTAAATATTTAGTGAACTAGCCAAATATTGAGCTAGCAAGCATGCTAGCATGTAGTTATTAGTTTAAGCAACAGTTCACAAGACCCACCTTTTATTTTCATAGTCCACTTCAGTTTATTAATAAGTAATTTGAATATTAGCTAAATAATTAGCTCAGAGCTAGCTCAGTGTTTAGTTTGTGAACTAAATATTCTGAGCTAAATATTTATTCTGAACTAACATTTAGCTTGTTTAGCTCTGTGCTAAGTATTTAGCTCTAGGCTAGCAAAAATATTTCTAACTTTTTCTTTCTCTTATTACTAAATAACCCAGATTATTAGCTTATTTTCACAAACGGCATCTCATTGTTCAGTCTGAAAACAAGAAAACAAGGTTTTGAGCTGAAAAGCAAACATTTTTTTCCAAAGTTTCCACGATTTACTTGGTAACACAGTAAAATGGGTTCACTGAAGGAATCATCGCCTTCCTGCTGCCAAACATGCAACAGCGCGGCGCCGTCAGAGTTCAGCGGAAACAAAAGAGGAATAAACTGCAGCCGGCATTCCTCATGCAGGTGCAAAAACCGACAGAGATCTGCTTCAAAGCTGCTTTCGAACGGGATTAATTCATTTTCACCATGACTCAGAGTGAGATCTGCGCTGAGATATGGCTTTTATTACATCTCACCCTCCCAAGAGAAACACTCAGACTATCATTATGAGAAGGAGCCTCGCCAAGACAAATACACTCTGGATTTGGATCTAGCTTTGCCAAAAATCAAGCCAGAGGCACGATTTGTTTTATTATAAAATTATATCATAAAGTCCCAGCCGTTCTCAGAAAATACAGGAGAAACCAGTAAATTCAAAATCACTACAATCAAGCTTTAATTTAAAGAAATATTTCATTTTAATCTGATTTGTAAGAGAAGCTGATCTGCTACAACATACATTTTGCAACATCATGTTAATTTCAATACAGATTTATCCATTTTGATATGGGAGAATAATTCAGGGTGGATGTAAGTGTTGTTTGGAGAAATAAAGGAGCCGTACCTGAGCATCAGTAAGCTGGAAAATATCTTTATACGCCAAGTAGACCAGGAAAGAGTTGACACCTGAAAATAACCAGATTAAAAGATGATCATTAAAATGTGAAGATCTCAAATGACTGAGAATTAATTTCTTTAAGCAGACTTTATGTGTGCCAATAAAGGCAAACTGTTGGTGGTTTGATTACAAGAATCTCTCACTCCAGATTTAAATCCTTCATTTATTTACTTTTCTTCCTGTTTCATAATTTTTTGAAAGTAAAACAAACAAAACAACCTTCATAGTGCATTAAGAGATTGTATCAGTTGCCTTAAAACTCCTTAGATAATTTATTTGGAACAAATATAGGTTGTCAGAAAAACTCCTTAAGTTTTTTCAGGTTTCTGTGAATTTTCTGCCAGTTTTGTTTGTTTTGCTGTGCCGTGCAGACGGATCAGACGCTCAGCGCTCGTACCGTGGTCCTTCACCAGCGTCTCCATCTCCTCCTGGATCCCCTTGTGCCACTCGGTGATGTCGACGTGCAGCGAGTAGTCGCAGCAGGACTTGCCGTCGGCCCATTCGCGCCACTGCTCGAAGGCGGACATGAGGCTGACGCCGGGCTCGGGAACCACGTGGTCAACTGGACACAGAGACCACAAGTCCGACCGGAGCTTTTCAAACGGGCAAATTCAGTGCAGCATTTCTAACTGGGTTTTATTTTAACAATGTTATAGACATGAAGTTTGTCAAAATGTCTATTTATTCTTTGAATTCCTTTTGTTAAGTCAACAAGTTGTTTCTTCAGACACTTATTGGTGTTTAGAGTTCTGCTAGGCTGCTCTTTTGGTGGTTACCATAGTAACCAGTAACTGTCAGCTCCTTCCCCTTTTTATCTGTTGCCGTCGGTAACTGCGGCATGTAGTAGGATCGGCTCTATGTTTTCTTTACAAATGTTATATTTTAACATTTATTTTAGACAAATTTAATAATATACAGTTTCATGAGTAATTTTGCTATGTCTTGTATATGTTTTAAACTGTTATTATTATTATTAGTGTTGTCCATTTTAGATGTGTTTAATTTTACAAGTGTTAACTGATGCTAACTGCTGCTAATTGCTCATTGAGAGCTATTGTTTTGTAGTTTCTTTATGGTTATTTATTTGTATTTTAGTTAATGTTTAGGGACAGAAGCTGCTGGACTGATGTTAGCCACCATCTTGGTTTCCTCTTTTGTTAGAATAAATACAATGAACCTGAATATTTCTGTCGTATGTCAACCGAGCAGACCTGACATGAACATTGAAAGGTTACACATTAATGTTCTTGAATGAATCTTGTAAACATGAGCAGAATGAGGTTATTCTAAAGAGTTGTTCTGATTGTACGGTTCAGTTTCATCTTCAAAATGGCGTCAATGTTGCGTCAATGTTCCAGACCTGACTGCAGCAGTCAGCGTTTAGCCTGGAGTGACAACAGAGTTTGTTTTTGCTGCTCATTCAGTACAGGGAGGCCTAATGTGGCATTTAATTAAGATTTCAATTAGCTGCTTTGTTTTTTTATAGTTCACATAAACATCAATATATTTAACTCTTTAAAGCTGAAATAACAAGGAATAATAGATAGAAAATTTATTTTTTTTATTTAAGCTATTTAATAAACGCTTTTATATGATGACTGATGCATTCATGAGATATTTCCCAACCAATAAGGAATCACGGTTTTTAAGAACACCTTGATGCTTTTTTCTTCTTCAGATTTGTTGTACATATAAGTTGAAATTATTTATTTATCTATTATTTCTGATACTTTTTGTCTGATTGGTTGTTAGTCAATTCATCAAGTTAGCAAAGCTAACAAGAAATGTTTCTGAGGAGAAGAAGACCAAAAGATCAAAAAAATCACAAGTACTGTGGGGATAAAATAAAGTTTGATGTGATTAATATGAAATATTGCACGTTTTCTTATAATCAAAACTGTATTTTCTGGTAATAAAGCCATAATATATTATCAGATGATAAAGTTTTCCGCAACAGATTTCATCAGACGACATGAGTTAGCATTTATGCTAAATCAGGGGTGTCCAAAGTGTGGTCTGGGGGCCTTTTGTGTCCCTTGAAATTATTTTATATGAGTCAAGAATGGTAAAAACAATTGATGACCCAAAAAATGAAATGAAATGAAGAATTAGGACATTGTCAGTTGAGCAACTCACTGATCATCGTGGTGCCGCCGGCCAGCGCCGCCTTGGTCCCCTGGTAGAAGTCATCGGCCGCCGTCATGCCCCGGTCGGGCATCTGGAAGCGCGTGTGCACGTCGATGCCGCCGGGCAGCAGCATGCGACCGTGGGCGTCGATGGTTTTCACCCCGCCGGGAACGATGAGGTTCTCTCCGATTTGTCTGAAGCGGCGACATGGAAACGGGTTGGGCCGAGCAGGGAACGGAGGACGCCATAAACAAGCGACGTAAACTCACTTAATGACGCCATCCTCCATGTAGATGTCGGCGTAGAACGACTGGTCATCATTCACGATCTTCGCTCCTTTGATCAAGAGACGGTCACTCTGACAAAAAAACAAACAAACGACGACAGGACATCATCAATCAAATCAGTGGTTGCTTTAGATTCCAATAATTTATTGATATCCATTAAGTCACATGTGTCAAACTCAAGGCCCGCGGGCCACATGTGGCCCGCCATGT